GGTCTGTCCGTGCCTGGCACAGGCAGCGCTATCAAAGCCTCTCCCCAGCGACATCAGTGAGAGCTGCTTACCCATCCACTATGTAAACCCTTATTACGCTCCAGCTTTCCCTTAACGAATTCTCCCTGGTTTCTTCTCTCCACCACTCCAAGTGAGACGGAGAAAGATGGTGAGAAGGAACAGGAGGCAGCTTGCTCGAGACTTCCCCGGGGATGAGCGGCGAGGCAGACCTACAATCGAGAGAGGGGCCAGCAGCTAGCTTTGGGTCCCCGCTCGCTCCTGGCTCTCCAAATTAGCGTATATCCTACCAGGGAATGAGCTACTGTCTTGGCATCTGCTACAGAACCTCTGCGCACCCGCCCTGGCTCTTTTTTCAGTCCCCACGCTTCCAATCCTCGCCTCTCCGATGAGCACCGAATACGAAATGGAGAAGTAGGGGTGCCCCTTGGTGGGTTGGCAGACGCAGAGAGAGGAACAGAGGAGCCACCTAGGGAGATGGGCAGCCGACAAAGTTGTCTCGGGCCACCCCTGAGCTCAGCACCCTCCCTCAGCAGGAGCCCAGGCTCAAGTAAATCTCTGTGATCATTTGTTCCCTTTAAGTTTTGAAAGCAGAATGCCTAATCATGGCCAAAATCAGGTAAGAGCTGCTGCTGCAAATTACACAGCGCCACAGGTAATTTCTGATTAGCTCACTCTTCCTCTCCTGGTGCATCCTCAGTTTCCATAGCAGCTAAGTCCTAAGTAAAATGGAAACATCTGGTTCAAGCGCAGGTAAAGATTCCCTGGGGAAAGAAACCTGCTGGATGGCAGCAAACACGGAAAATAGCCCGCGCGCAGTGCAGAGGCATCGCGAGCCGGCAGCCTGTTTAGGGGAGGATGAACGGCGGGCGGGAGAAGGCAGCAAGGGGCAGGGGAGTTGGGAGCGGAGGGTCCTGGGGAACAGGAGGGGATGCGGGAAGGAGAGTGGGGCTGCAGGGAAAACAAGATGGAGGTAAAGAATTGGCGGTGATGAGGCTGAGTGAGACAAAACCGCGTTGTCAGGGTCGACAAGGGCGAGAGGAGAAAGAAGAAAAGGCTTCAAGGTGGGATTACATGGACTGCCTCAACCATAAATGCCACCTGATGGTGACAGATACAGTGACAGCAACTTTGATGCCATGGATAGAGGCTTGGGGCCGGAGAGGAGCACACGGATCTGCACCCTGCATTTCATCACTCATCCAGGCACAGACCCCGACAGAAGACTACCATCTCAGAGGCAGGGCCACCTAAGGAGGATATGCCAACACGAGCACTGGGGGAGAATGGGTTTTACAGCGGCTCCTGTCAAGGGAAGGGGCTGAGATGCCGCCAACTCGGCTCACCCTCTGCCTGGGCTACAGGGAGTGATGGATCTGACCCAGCAGTTTGCTACAGAGCAGACAAATAGCAAAAAAATCAATGGAGCTGCACCGAGACACCGGAGCCATCGTCAGGCAGCCGAACAGAGAGAGCAGACACGGCACCATCCATCACCGCTGCCGCTGTGTCGTCTCCTTGGGCTGCCGGACAGCCCGGCCGGGGCCTCCCCGCAGAGAACTCGAGGCAGTTGTCTGGGAGTTACAGCCCATGCTGGTAAAACCTCAGGGAACAAATGACTGAGGTTGAACTGCAGCGCTTAGATGGGATCAGAGGATCAGAGGCAGGCACTGCCCCTTGGCCGGGTGGCTTATCCCACCCAAAGCCCCCAGATCTCACCCCCAGGTCACCGGCGAGAACCTCGCAGCCAGCTGGGATTTAATAACAGGGCAGCAAGACCCAAAGCGAATGCCAAAAAGCAGCTGGGAAACTGTTTTGAAATAATATGCTCCCAAACAGGCACGTACGGGAATTTGCTTCCCAGCAGTCCCACCCACACAGTTCTGCTCAGGTTTTGCTTACCAATTAACAAGGCCACCAATTAATGCTTCGTGTGTTTTCCTGCTCATTTGCACTATTTACAGCCCTCCTTTGAAACAACAAGTGAGAATTCCCTGGACGTGCGCGTCCAATCCCTAAACATGACAACCCCAACCTACTGCCAAGTCCTCCCCACGACCAAAGCCCTCCTCTCCCAGACCTCCCAACGTGGATGTTTCTCCACCAAAGTCATCAACTCCAGCATTGTCACATCTTTTTGGGAACACATCACCTCTTTGCAACTGAAGCACCACGTGAAAACAGCCAACACCCACACCCCTCCACCAGCCTATGCCGCTCGCAACCGGCGCTGTGCCCATCCCAGAGTATTTCTGGGACCGTTCGGCTCTTACCTTTGGGCGAGATGTGTCTCCAGGTGATCGTTGGATCTGGCCTGCCCGTGGCTATGCAGGTGAGGCTGACGTTGCCGCCCTCGTTGATGGAGATGTCGGAAGAGATCTCGGTGATTTTGGGAGACACTGCAATGACACCAAGAGGGAAATGAAAATGCAACCGGGTTCTGCTCCAACTCAAAATGCAGGTGGGGGAGGCTGAATTCCCTTCCTCTCTCCACCTCGACAAGCTCTGCAGTAGCCCATCAGTCTCCTCTGACTTGACAGGAACACACAGGGGAGGAGGGGGGGCAGAGAAGACAGGGTTGAAGTGGGAAGGAATCGGAGCCAGAGGGGATTCAGTCATTTTAGGGAGGTTAGAGACAGCTCCTCCTCAGCACTGCTGTGGTGTACGAGACGGTAGTGCTGCCCTACCCCACTTCCAGCACCCATCCTGGCCTCC